ACGTAACATCACGGCTCTGAGGAAGGCGAAGTCGCCGAAACGTCAGCCATCGATCAATAACATCAAAAACAACGACAACGACAACGACAACGAAGATCTGTACCAACCTCGCGTCAGCTTAAGAAGATCAGTTTATAAGATCTCATAAATAAATACATAAATAAGGTTTTGTATGGAGTCCCAGCTGATCAATAACTGATAGAGACTGCTAAGACTTCATTCGAAACGAATTAGTAGTATATGTGAATCTTACTGCTCACTATATGTTCGAATCTTCTTGTATACTGTTTCCGTCCATTCACGCCTGACGAATTCAGTCTTATCGTCATCGACAGATCGTATCGCTGTTCGTAGTTCTGGATGTCGATGATCAGGAATATAGCCGACAATGTTGCGATTTGTGGCGACATTGTGTAATTGTGTTGTTCGACCGTGTCGACGGTGATTAAGCTCTGATGCCAAAATGGCAGTGACGACGACGTCACAGACGACGAATAACGACTTCAAGTACCGAAGCCAGTACATCGCATAGTGTGCTGTACGAGTTCACTTACAAGTGTTCAAAGTCTGCAAAAAGGTCCCATAAATCGCGCATGAAACTGAACGAAAACAAAACAATAGAGCTCTGACCATTGAAAATGATATGGTAATATTTGATATAGCAATGAAATAAAGTCATGAATTTAAAAACAATTCAATCAACATTGCTTATTTCTTAGCTTAACGACCAAAAAGAGCAGCTGCTGTTAATCGATACCTATTGACATAATGATCTTCGTCGACACTAACACCTATCGGTGTGCTCATAGCTAAATCATGAGAAAAGACTTCTAGGGAGTGGAAATTTTGTATTTGAGCCCTCCGAAATTTCAAAATCACAATGAAATTGGATAGGAAGAGCTCAGTAAATGACATGAGCTTGGATTTGACTCGTAGAAATAGAGGAGGGGAAATTTTTTAAAAACGACAGAGGGTACAGCTAGCGAACAATAGCAATGAAAACACAATGAGTAAAAATAACAATGCTCAGTTGGCCGGCGTTTTAAATAAAGAATCCTTTTTCTGATGGTTCAAATTCGACTACATTGAACCTTTAAGTAGTCGCAACGAATGCTTGAAAGATGAAATCTTTTCTATATTTTAAAAGTTTAGTAGGTTCAGTGCTAGCCTTTAAAATGTATGTCCCCTCCATTCTATTAATAAGCTGAACTTTAGATATCGTAGAAGAGGGTCAATAAGCTGATTGCTTATTTAAGGCGGACAAAATGACGAAGGTCTATTATAGAATCTTGTAAGCATTAATATTATAGGAGAAGCTTACGCACAGCATTAAGTCATATAAAAATGGAGAAAAAAGATTAAGGAAAAAAAGAAAAAAACTGGTAGGGATTATCTTCTAAGGTAAACTAGGAAAAAATCACACTGGCGTTTTAATGCCTTCTTTCGTATGATAGCGTTACACTTTTCGTTTAAGAGAGTACTCCAGACAATACTATTTTTTCAGAATAGAAAATTCTAAAACAATAAAAAATTTTCCTTAGAGCGTATCACACAAATGAAAAGGGTGATTACGAATCGTATGCACCCAATAAGATTTATTACAATGACACATTCGATGTTAGTGCAGTTTTCAAATGGAGCCGAATCAGGAAATGACATTTTCGTCACAGAATAAATCGGTCGTTGTCATGCTTTCAAAGCTGAGAACGAAAATATGCGATGACGATAAGTGCTGACTGCTTTGAAATCAGCGATTATTCAGGTTGTTTGGGCAGTTTCCGGCCACGACAGCCACCAACGGTGGCTGAGAAATCCCGTGGACTCCCGTCGTCCGTGTCTTGAAGCTTTTTTAGTCAGCCATTCAAGGTTGGTCGGTCATGTGTCTCCTCTATCGACTTAATAAACATTAACCGCTAACCGTTCTTGACTAGATTTCCGTGAAAAACAACACCCAAACTATGCTCGAATGCCGCGAAAAGCACTTAGGCCTATCGACCACGACATATTCATATGAATGCGACGCAACCGGCTTCTGACACTTATGGCTCGACGATTCGAATGAAAATCATGGCTAAAATCAGTTTTCTCCATGAGCTTTGATTTTCCGAAACAGCAGTAAGGAAATGAAAATGTGAGATTTTCAACGTCGAAATAATGATAAATACGAGTAAAGCTGAAGCGATTTAATCAGCGAGGCCATCATGTATCTCAAATGTGGGTGTTTTTGAGCGTCGACTAAGTAGAAGTTCGTCGTTAAAAAGAAATGAGTTTCACTGATATTGCAACACGCTGTAGTCACTTAGATTAAAGGATAAAGCTCTCGACATTGATCAGTCCAGGATGCAATATGCTATGGACTTCACTAAGCATCGTTAGAGGTTACTGAATATCTAGCCCATACATTGGGTGCGGTGGGATACCGGCCTATCAAATCGGTGCTACTGCACTTCGAGACAAGTCCGATACCAGTTTGCTGACCCTGCAGAGATGAAAGGCAAAGCAAGTAGGCACGAGCTCGAACCAATGACCACGTGTGTATTTTAGGGCACCTCTAAAAACTGTGTTATATCCATAAACCCTTCATCGCCTACTTGTAACCCGTGTAATTAGTACAAAACTGCCTTGACAACTCCGAAAAATAACAGAAGTTATGAATTGGAAAGATCGTCGATAGTGCTAACTCGAATATACGAGGCATACCACCAACCGAAAGTTCTAGAAGTGAATTGATTTCTCGAGAATTACCTAACGCTTTCGATTTTTGGATAAAAACTTTATTAACCAAAGAAATATTCAGTAAATAATTGTTAAAAACAAGAAGAAAGCAGTGAGTCCCAGCAGAATGTCGAAATGGAGACTCGCAAAATGCGTTGACCAATCGTGAATATGTTGAAAAGCCGAAGTTTTCCAGTGAAAATTGAATATGCCTGCTTGAAAAAGAAGTGGATTGTGTGAAGGCATTTCGGCCAACTGTTTTTTCTCTTTTTTGAAGCAACTGGCACAATATTAACGAGAAGACGAGAAAAAAATATCAGTTTCATGAATTAAGCGGTGAGAAACGTGAGAAATCGTCGAAGAAGTGGAAGTTCGTGACAACTGTGTTCAGCTGAAAAGTAGGAAACCACTGCAAGAGGACGTGTTCGACATATGAAAGAAAAAATACAAAATGATTGCGATTCTCTTACAGTATGGATATTCTAAAAGAATAGGATAAGTATAGTAAATGGTAGGTGCTGGTAGATAGAAAAACTAGCTGAGAGAAACGCATAGCAAGAGCCTACCTGGCGCAGTGTGTAGTGCGCGGAAATTGTAGCTCCATCTGGACCGGGGTCAAAGTTTTTCAAATATCTCAGCATCGTTATGGTTACGTAGTTGGCTTGGGTTATTTGCTAGTGATAAAAATGCATACAGGTGAAATTTACATTCATTCGTCTTAAAAACAAATGCAAAAGTGATTTAGGACATAGAAACGTGGATAAAAACGTTCCAATCATATCTCTTAGAATTTTTACTCCTAATATACAGTGGTGGTAGTTCTCTTCCAATGCTTGTAGCGAACATTTTGAGTTCTACAAAAGAGTGATCTACCGTATACATTGTAGGTAGATCATACCATATAATAAATGAATGTAAATACAAGCAAAAAGGCGTGCATGGCGCAGTGGTCGGAGGCGCCTTGCAAAAGACACATAGAATCGATCATCGCTTTCATGGCCCATCAGGCCTTCTATGCCTCTTGGGTCGGCAAATTGGCACCAGACTTGTCTGGCAGGATAGCAGCACTGGCTCGTTGCATCGGTCGGCCACCATGAGTGTACAGGCCAGGTATGCATTCAATCACCTCCAACGATGCTTGGTGAGTATAATAGTAAAACCAGCAAAAGTAGTATTTAGTATCATCGTAAATAAGGGTACATATGTTGTTTATAACGAAGTTCAACTTACGCCATATGTTAAAAAAGTCCTTACAAGAGAAAAATTGCTTCGTCTGTTTGCAATTTCATAGCAAAGGGAACAATATTAAAGAGATTTCTTCTAAATACTTTGGTAGACGGGTAGCTACGACAAATTAATCTCCTATTGCACTTTTTTTGCTCGAACTATCCAGAAATCGCGGGGGCGTTCTAACGAGTTCTATGGGACACACATCGAAAATTTCAGCTATTTAACTTTTCAGCATTCTTCAAAAACTTTGATCCACACATGTTTATGGAAAAGCTCCGATACGATGTTAGTGGGCTTAGCCTTTAATATGTATAAGCGGAAAATCAGAAAACAACGTTCTATTAATGAAAGTTTAGGTGATTAAGCAATTGCATAAGAAAATAGAGTGCCTTTGCCATTTTAGGTGCTTTTTGACAGCTGTCACCTTGAAGAATGTAACCATCCTCAATGAATACGATTAGCTCAAATCCTCAATTCTCTAAAGAAAATCCGTTTTGGGGCAAGTAATAAATTGATGCCCGTGACAGACGGCATTGACAATCATGGTCGTCATCAGAGGCATTGAGAGGTGGTGCCGATAATCTGCATAGGGAATTCGGATGATGAAGAATCTTAAGCGCAGCAGATGAACATCTTTACCTAAGTGCCTTATGGTTGTCATAAGGAATTGGCACTGCACCTATCAAAAAGCTGGGGTTTTGTTTACGGTTTCTGAGCCACGGCATCCAAAAAAGTCGTCAAAATTAAGGCTTAACACATTAGCGAGAACGTGACCTCTATAGAAGTCATAGGATGCGGAAATAGTGGCCACTTCCGACTTTACGTGAATAAGTCTCAGTTTATAGCGAATTTCGTTCGCTAAAATAAAACAATGCAAATATAAACATCTTTGTTTATAGGAAAAATGCTAATTTGTTTTAGGACGACGGAATTCTGATTTCTCTTGAGGCCATGACATATACTTTCCCCACTTTGTTGTTTCAAAACTCACATTTCGAACACGGAAACAAATTAATAAGTAGGATTTTGTTCACAGTGGCACGATAACACCTTCTAGAGAAACTATTCCGTTTACAATTGCTGTTTTTTCTTCGAAATGCTAGAAATTTAAACCTCTTTACCAAATTTTTAGGGCTCGTGTAGCGCAGTCGTCAGAGGCCCCCTGCAACACACAGGGGGTTCAGTCCCCATTCCCCAGGCTCACCAAGCCTTCCATCTCCGGGGCTAGCAAATTGGTACCAGACTTGTCTGGGAGGATAGCAGCACTGGCTCGATACATCGGTAGGCCACCGCGAATCATTGTAAAGGACAGATATGCATTCAATCACCTCCAAACGAAAAAAAGAACTTAATGAAGTCGAATGCATGGTGCACCCCTTAGGGCTTGGTCAATGCCGAGAGCTTTATCCTTTTCATCCCTTTTACGAAATTTTTGAAACTTTAAACTGCAGACATATTTAAATCAAAAAAGGTAAGGTGAAAAAAGTAAAAGATATATAAAAAAAAAAGGCTGTATAAAATTCGACATGTAGTTAATGCGACGAAGAAAAGTTTTTTCTATAGATCTGCAGAGTTCTAAT